TGTGTCGGGAGTATCCATATAAGATTGGTGGCCTGGCACAACAGTGCAAAGAAGGTGCCTTTGTGGTAGATGGGTCACTCCAAAGGGTTTCAGTGAAAGCGGACAGAACAAGGTGGATGGGGGAGACACAGAAATGGGCTAAAATCCAAAGGCTGCCTGCATCACAGAATCACTGGGTTGGAAGAGATGTTCAAGATCAATGAGTCCAACACATGCCCTAACACCTCAACTAAACCATGGCACCAAGTGCCACATCCAATCTTTTTTTAAACACATCCAGGGATGGTGACTCTGCCACCTCCCTGGGCAGACCATTCCAGTATTTATCACTCTTTCAGCAATTCGCTTTTCACATTCAGTTTCTTTTTCCTAATGGCCAACCTATATTTACCTTGGCACAGCTTGAGACTGTGTCCTCTTGTTCTGTCAGTTGCTGCCTGGAGAAAGAGACCAACCCCCACTACCTACAGCCACCTTTCAGGGAGTTGTAGAGAGTGATAAGGTCACCTCTGAGTCTCCTTTTCTCCAAGCTGAACAACCCCAGTTCCCTCAGCCATTCCTCACAGGGCTCGTGTTCCAAGCCCCTCACCAGCCTCGTTGCCTCCTCTGGACACGCTCAAGCATCTCAACATCCCCTAACCTGAGGGGCCCAGGACTGGACACAGCACTCCAGGTGCAGCCTCACCAGTGCCAAGTGCAGGGGAAGAATGACCTCCCTGCTCCTGCTGGCCACAACATTCCTGATACAGGCCAGGAGCCATTGGCCTTCTTGGCCACCAGGGCACACTGCTGGCTCATGTCCAGCTGGCTGTCACCAGTACCCCCAGGTCCCTTTCTGCCTGGGCCCTGTCCAGCCACACCGGCCCCAGCCTGTAGCACTTAAGGGAGTGGTTGTGGCCTACTATTGCCTGACAGTGGGAGGCATGGGAGTCCTCTGACTCCCAGGGGCTTCCCTCAAGGGTGAAAGGGCAGAACTCCACCAATCTCTTTCACTTTCCCTAATACTCCTTAGTCTACTTCCTCCCTAAGCTCAGCCACCAACAAAAGGAGATCATTCACCTGTTCCTACCACAGACAAGCCTCTTCTGTAATGCCCCCTAGTACCACTGATAAGCTCAACCACTTCACACAGGAAGGGGTCTGGACAGACTCATACATTGTTTTATTCTCTGGTACAGAGATCCACAGATGTATTTAAGACACCTAATATGTAGCTGGAGAGACCTGTGTGCTCTTTGGCAATTTAAAAATAATAGAGACATAAGATCCCACTTTTCCCCAGACACTGCTCAAGGTCCTGAAGGGAAGGAAGTCAAAAGGACTTTGCAGCTTCTGTGTGGAAAATGCTGCTGCCCTGGGCTGGACTGTGGTAACCCTCATGCCTCTGGAACTTGTAGGGAAGTCTCAGCACAAAAAAGTCTTGCTCTCCCTCAGATGTTCTACTGAGTGTAGGTTACTTAAGACTTTTGCCTAGTCTGGAATGACACTCACATCAGTAACAGATACCTATTTGGTTCTGGTTTGACTTTATTCATTTATTTATTTCAGAAAAAAAAAAAAAAAAGATGGATCTTCTCAATGTGAGTGCTTTTTTTCAGCCTTTTGAGCTAGCTCTTGCTTCTTATGCATCTTGACTAACAGGGAGTCTGTGGATAGTGCCAAGACTCATATTCGCTCACACCATGGTGAATATGCAGCTTAGCATTGCAGGATTGGGTCTGCAGATTCTTGTGATTCACGTCACTGCAATCTCATTTTGTTTTGGTAAATGTTGCCCCTCAGACCTGGGATCTCTTACAAACTGGGATCTGCGCTCACGTGCCTATTGCAAAATACCGCCTGCTAAAAACAGCTGTAAGGAGCTCCCTTTGTCTGGTTGGGGTTCTTCACTTAAGAGCTTGTGGTGACTGATTAAATTAGTAATCAGAGATATAGTCATGCTATTTTGTGACTCTGAGAGCCTTGATTGTGGATTATATTTACATACTGCAATTTCTTTCTAAATGGAGCTCTTTGTGTTCAAGGACTTTTAGAGTCTTTCAGCCTGTGATAAAATCCAGTTTGCTATAGAGACTAGTTCTTGCTGTGGTGCCAAGCTCTTGGTTGGGCATGCTGTGTAAAACAGTTTTTCATTTGCACAATAAATATGGCTATGAAGAGTTCATGTATGGTGCAGTGGTTTTTCTGACCCTTTACACTGAAAAAACTGCATGATGGCAGGCTGGCAGATGCATTGAATGCCTTCATGTCGTGTTGCCTCAAAAAAACAGAGTTTCTTTTTTTTTTTTTGTCAAAATAGGGGTTGGCTTGAACCAAAACCTCATAAATAGTACCAACAAACTTTGTGGTATTTAAAATCCCTTCATGCATCCAAACCCTTTGGCCTATCCCTGGTAAAAACAATAGGGCTGAAAACTCCTCACAGAATATTTTGTTGTGTTTCAAATCCACAGTGTATGCTAAGACAGTTGCTCTGTCATATGCATGTATGTAGCAGAAGTAGGCAGGAGGAGATCTGACTACTTTGCTGGTTTGGAGGCTCCAGAACCATTCATGTGAATCCTGTGTTTGTAAGTCCCTGTTTAAAGTTTCTTCTAGTCCTGTTCTGAATAGGATCAGAAAACCTGATCTTCTGCATCAGCCCAGCTGTATTCACTTGCAAAAGTGTGCAGGGGAAATGAGGAGGACTCAGCCTGCCATGACAGGGTGCTGCAGAATGATGGAAACCTTGGGCCAGACTGTGGTTTGAATCATCTTAGAGTGGGCTCTGGTCACTTAGGGCTCTCTCTACTCAAGGCCAGAAATTTCACCCAGAGTTTGAGGAAACTTTTGCTGGACAGGTTTTCTTGCTTGCTTTGCTTTGTTTTGCTTTTTCCTTCTGGAAACTAATGGGTTTTCATGAAAAAAAAAAAAAATCATACTTCCTTTTCTGATGACACTTGATTCAAGCTCTGAAACATTCCTGATCATCTTTAGTGGACACTGTTTCATAAATTTTTTTAAGAGGCTTTTACTAGAAGTGCAGTTTATTTGAATACCTTACCTTGATACTAACATGAAAGTCCTGTTTATTAATGTGTCAGTTAAAACAGGTAATTATATTTCTTGCTTTACTACCCTGCTGAAGTAGTACTTCAAATCTCTGCGTCTTAATTTCCTTTCTCCCATTAGTTTCCTTCTCCATAAAAAATTTTTGGAACTAGATTTTTATCACTCATGCTAGGAAATGGAACTCTGATCTCACTTAGATCTTTGCATTGTTACAAAGTAATAACAAAATAATAATACAAAAAATAATACAAAAAATAATACTCTATTTAACTGTGTATCCTTAATAATTATTTTGCCGTACCTTACCAGCTACGGTAGCCATTGAGCCTATTAGAATGGTGAAGCCTTTGGATGAATTAACAGACCAGATGCACAGATACAACTTACGCACTTAAAATGAAATTTACTCTTTCCAGAAAATTAGAGTACCATCTTGCAGATTGTTGGAATGATGCTGCCTAATGCCATATTCCTTCTGCCACAAAAGAGCTGCAAATCACTCCCTAGTGAACTGAAGAGTCCTACAGGATAGCAAATGGATCAGGAATGCCCCTGGAGTGAACTCTCTTTGAGTACAGGGGGCTTCTGTTCAAACAGCTGGAGCTGCACTTGCCTCTTTTTCCTCTTTTGGCATAGATGTGCCTACAGGCTTGGTGAAACAACCTGCCAGGCCAAAAAACAAGTCACCCTTGCATGGTGGCATCTTTACTCACTGAAACTTTGTGCCTCTAAGAAGGCTTCTGTCCCTGCTCCTGGCCAACAGCAGGTGCTTGGTGAAGAGTGTAAGAAGGGTGACATGAGCATGGTGACCCATCCAAACACCCTCTGGTTGCTCCATGGCTCTTGACCATGGCTGGTCACAGCTCAAGCTGGAGCAGGGACCTGCCAGTGTGAAGGCAGACATTGGTGGGATGTGTAAAGCCAGAGCCAGCCCTGAGGGGAGGGCAAGGAGGCACACACAGACCTGAAGAAGGGATGTCCCCCAGGCAGGCTGCAGCTTGCCTGAGACATTATTTAACAAGCAGCTCCATCTACCTGGAATGTGCTGTCTCCAGTACAGTCCTACCTGATCACACCCAAACCAGCCTTTGTCCTTCAATAGCTATTCATATGCACTGGCTGTCATGTCTGGTTTTGCTGTTAAGTCATATTTAGCAATCTCATCCTTCATGGGAGGAATGTGACTGTTGGGGTTTTTTTACTTTTAGGTGTTTGATTTGGGGTTTCCCTGATCTTGGATCAGTGTTCCCCAAATTGCAGAGGTTATAGGCTACCCTCTAGCATACTGTAGGAACAGAAAACTATGGTGCATAGGTGCAATCGCTCCCAGCCCTTTTATTGGCATATGCAGCCTAGCTGTGATCTTGAAGGAGCTTGCTCCCGGGGGCTCCATGTGTTGTTTAGTGTTAATGGCAAGCCATAAAATCTTAACCCAGGCTTCCTCCTGAGCCTGAGTACCTCTGCTGGTAGCCTGCTGCTCTTGATCCAGGCTCTTCCGCTACATGCTTTCAAATACTTTTATTTTATGTAGTTGGATGTAATGGGACTCACCCGTTTCAACTGCCAAGCTAAGTCAGCAAAATAACCTTGAACCTCTGTGAAGATTTCTCCTAGTCTCCTGCAAGCAATGGATTAATGCTCCCCTCCCCAAAATGTTAAACTCCCCTTAGCTGCCACCAGAGAAAATCCAAAACCCTCCAAACCATCAGAGCAAGAACTAAAGCTGTTACAGTCATACATTTTCTGTAGGTAGCACCTTTCATGTTGGTTACTGAACTTTTTGAGGGCCATTTTACTGTGGCAGTGGAATTGCTTGGCGGTTTGTGTGGAACAAATAAAATGGGACTAAAATTGTGACTGCAAAAGTTTAAAGGAATACAGTTACTGTGTGTTTGTTAATTCTGTCTTTGCAGGAGGATAGCAGCTGCTTTTCTTTTCTTTTTTAACAGATGGAGTGATTTCTCATGTAGTGTTACAGTAATGACCAATGTGACACAGAAGGAAAATTCTGTGACAATATGGTGAGCAAGATCTTATTGACAGCTCCACTTGGTTGTAATTTGTAAGCTCTATATTGTTGCTCTATTCTTTTTTTTTTCTCCCCCCACCTCCCAAATGCTGCCTGTCTTTTCTGCCATGTAGAATTAGATTTCAAGCTGAATCAGTTTAATTTGAAGACTCTTAGCTAAAAGCTGTTCAAAATGTTCACAAGAGTTTACACCCCATCATGAGTTTAAAAAGAATTTTAAAAAAATAAATAAAAGCATTGCATTATGAAACAATGGTATGAAAATTATCCTGTATTTAATGTATCTGTTGAGACAGCTGCCTTGATTTCTTCTGTAGCAGCTGATACCTTCTCAAGGAAGGGAATTTCCCCCTTTGCAAAAGGCAGCTTAGCCCTAGCACAGCCCAAATGTGGAGCATGAATGACCAGAGAGCACTGCTTGTGGCCTGCCCTATGACTGAACAGTGTGCAGGGGCTGGAAATAAGCACAAGGACATGATTGCCAACCAAAATCTGTGACTTCTGCCATGCAAAGAGGTGCCCAGAGAAAATGCCACCATCCATTTGTAGAGCTGAAAATCTGCATGGAGAACCCCATCCACAGTCCCTCTTTTGCAAGACAGCATTAACTTTGTCACTGTGTGCTTTGCTCTGTTAGGCCAAGGGCTCTGAAAGTCCCCATAAACTTCTCAGCTACCTTTATGTGGAATAAGCCACAAGGTAATCTATTTACGGGATAGATAAGATGTTGTTCTACTCTTCCTTTGAGTCTATTAAATTTGAAATTTGAAAAAATAAAAGAAGAATGTTTGTTAGCTTTATATTAGCAAAGAAAAAGTACAGTGGAAATGTTTTTTTTAAAGGGAACATTGCAAAATAACAGAGATACTATTTTTCTGTGGATGATAAGGATGATAGAAACATCCAGTGGATGCAGCAACAGTGTAGAGAAGAACTACAGAAACTATCAGGCCAGTATGAGGACAGGTGGAACCTGCACGTGCCGCAGTCCTGACCTTCTCTGCTCCTGAAGGTTTTATAATCATCCTTGTTCCTGAGCACTGTGGACTGGCAAATTCTGCTCTTTGAAACAGTTCCCGAAAGAATAGTCCCAAGGGCTGGTTTTCATGTTTGCTACCAAATGCCAGTGGCTCTAACAATCCTATTGCACAATGTGTACAGTGCTAACACAGCCATTTCTTTATAACAGAGAGAAATGCTCCTATGAGAGACATTTTCCTTTACAGTTCATAAATGGGACTTAACTTTTTGTGTTTTCTACACACACAAAATGAGGCTTTTTTGATCTCTATAGCAGATTTGTCTTTAATTTCTGGAATTAGTGGAAACTTGTGATAGTGTTTTTCAGAAGGTTAGTTTGAATAGGGGGAGATTAGAATAATTCTTCATTTCACATTAACTGCCTCTAAGATTTCTCCAAGTGAAGGGCTACCAGCCTGCTGCTCAGTGACTAATAAATTTGATTCATCCTCACTCCCCACAGGGTTATCCTCCTTCTTACTAATGTTTGACATTTTACATTTTAATTAAAATCACCCTCCAAGCAGCAAACCACTAAGAGAGTGACAGATATTCCTACTGCAACAAGATATAAGAAAAAAGGGCAATTTGCTAACTGTATCTTCAATAGTGCCTCTCACTTATTTGCTACGTGAACACCTAATGTATGTCTGTGTGTGTGTGTGTTAGACAAGGCAATGCCCATCTTAACATTCAGGGAGTTTCCAGTGGCCAAAGACACTATCTTTCAATGTTTACTGTCCAGTAAGAGCAACTGGGACTTGGGAGTAACAGTGCTTTCTTGATGCTATGTAAGCATGTAAAGCCTTCCTTCCTCTTGGGCTACAAGTTTGTGTAGCCTAAGAGAAGGCAGAAAGGGCAAAGAAAAGCAAAGTAATTCTAAGCTTTGAAAGCAATTGCCATAAAAATACTGCAGATTGCCTTATCTGGCTGCTGGCTGCCCCAGCCATTGCTGAGGGGCTGGTTTTGTGGGACTGCCCTGCAGAGAGGAGCAGAATGAGGATGACTGGTGGATACACCTGGCGGACAGGTGTAGAGAGGGTGTTTGTGTAAAGACCTATATTAGTCAGCACATTGAAACGTCACAAGAAACTGAAGAGCAGGCAGCAAAGCTGGCGTCAGTGGCAGCATGGAGGAGAGATTTGGTGGGAAATGAAGCAAGAGGCTGGAGTGCATCTGAAAGGTGTGATGTGCATGAATCTGGAGATCAACATCACAACTTGCTTAGAAGGAAGAGGAGGTGATGCCACTGCAAAGGATCAAGATCCTTTGCGGAGATGAGTCTGTAGGCCACAAAAGGGGCAATAACAAATGCTTTGATTATTTGAACAGAAAAAAGGAAGACTTGAAAATGGAGGAATGGAGGGTTTTTGAACTGCTCTGCACATAAGTCGGAGAAAGGATAATCCATGGCAGTTCCCCTCTAGTGTACAGAACTTGATGACAAGATGATAGTAGGGCCAAAGAGACAAGGATGGATGCAGGCAGAGGGACAGAGCAGTTATTTAAATACTTGGAGGAATTGTTGCCTGACTATGTGGAGAGACAGAGGAGGGAAAAACATTGATCCACTTCCTTACAACCAAGCAACAAGTCCAGAAACCCAGAACAAACCCATCTGCTTATGAATCTTATCTATCTTTGACAGAGAACTCTGGTGAGATGTGTCCAGGTGTTAATGACAAACCAATTTTTTTTAAGATAGTAGTGGCTGGACATGTACAATGTAAAAATTCCATCTTTTCTCATGCAGTCTAAGTGGGTAAGTTGTGAGAGGGCAGTGACACAGCCTACACCTTACTTGTTTCCAACCTAATTCAGCATCTTCCTTGTTCTGGTGTCCCTCCCTCCATTTCAAACCCAGCAACAAAAAATATTTTTTCTCATATGTATCAAGGCTGCTGATATTTAGAATTTGATTCAAAACGTCTTTAGAAAAGACAGCATGCAAGAAGATCGTGCAAAATCCTGCAGGTTACAGGCTTGTCTGGGCCTTTCTGACTTATGATATGAAACCCAAAGGAAAGCTGTAAGGCAGACAGCAAGGTACTGCATTCACAGCTCATTTCTCCACCCTTTTGGAGCAGAAAAGTCAGAGGAACATGGTAGTTCCTCTTGACCAGCTTAAATGATCTGCATTTAAGCATTGCCAAAAACAATCAAGTGGGATGAACTGGTCTCCTGTAACTCCAGGGGGACATTTGTTTTTGGTTTGCTGGCATAGCTGCTAGATAAAAAAACCCTCTGTGTCATGTCCTCTTGGAAATAACAGCTTGGTGAATAGAAGTTGCTGTAAAAAATAGTGTTTGTGTCTCCTCATGACTTGGTGCTTAGGAGGCAATTAACAAAAAGTGGTAGAGGTTGTCCCCTAGCATCATGACCTCTCCATTTTACCAGGAGGAGGGTCTTGTGTCAGCCGTAGCAGAACCACCTTGACTCACTGAGTGCCACTGCTGAGTGTCTTTGTGTGGTTAGGATGGAGAGGATCCTGGCTGTTTTCAGAAGTAAGTTTCTTTGAAAACTACAAGGGAGTGCAGATGCTTTGTCAGACTTTTTTGAGTGCATACATGTAAGTGAAAATAGGAAGCAGACACCATGTCTCAGGAAAATGGCTGCAATGCTGTACAAATTCTTATCCTCTGTCAGCCATTCCTCAGATATGTTGAGTTACAAGTTAGTCTGCAGAGGCACGTGGAAGAAGAGAAGCCCGAGCTAGCTTAACAATCTGAATTTAAAGTGAACTGATTAAATTCCATTAAATCCCTGTGTAGATGTCCTTGTTCAGAATTAAGGTAAAGTAAGATAAGTCTCGTAAAGGCCAAGTTAATTCTGAAGGAGAATACGTACACAGAGATTTAATACATTTTTAACTAATCCATTCTAGCAGTTAATTCAGATTAACTGTACTCGGTTTTCCTCTCTGGCAAAGCCCTTCAAGGGAACAAGATGTGGAAAAACACCAGTCTGAGCAGCACAATGTTCTATAACATTCTATGCTGTAGATTACACAGCAGACAACTGGTGCCACAGCACTCCTGTAGTATTGAATGGCTGCAGGCAGACCTACCCATGTTGGTGCTCTTGGAGGGGACAGTGGTCTTGGGAAGGACTTGCTAAGACCATCCTTGCTTCCATCAAAGTGCTTTGAGAAATGCTGAAGCACGCTGGCAAGGCCTTGGGTAACCTGCTGCTGCAAGGAATTTTGATCATAAATGGGATGTCTGTGCTAGCAAAGTGAATACTCCTGACAATGGGTGTGGAGGTGGCTGATACCTGTCTGCCCATTGTTTGTGTGCCAGAGATGCAAGATGCAGTGTGAATCTTAATGGTTTCCCTCCTACCTGGAGTGGTGTATTCTTGGGCCAAATCATGTCTTCACTCTTTTGTGTCAACAAAGCATTGCATAGCCCCATGCAGTCTCTAGTTTAAAAAAGTCAAAACCTGGAGTTTAAGCTTTACTATTGATTAAAAATATATATATATATATATTGCAAACAATAGCTTAAAAGGAAATGGGAGATTATGAATAAATAAGAAGGTGCATAGGTGTACAGGGAAAATACAGCAGTCCATAAATATAGTTAGGAATTCAGTTGTACACTTAAAAGAAAGGGCATAAAAATGTAGATGACTAAAGCAATATGTGTGCAGAGGAATAATAATATACCATGAATTAAAATACGCAAGTATTGGGGACTAAATTGCTTTTACTACTCTATACATTTTTTTAAAGTACCTAGAGGCCTTCAGGTATGAGTGCTAAAATAAAAATATTATTATTATGGATTTTTGGGGGAAGATGAGTTGAAACTCAAGGATGTCTCCTGTGCCTTAGCTCTATTGTATGTGGTTGAACACATTGGGCCAAATTTATCCCTGGCCTACTATATTTACTGTTGAAAGCACTTTGGAAAATTGCATATTAAAGCTATATGTAAAAAAAAAAGCACAGAATTTTGAGCAGGCATTTAAGGCTGAGTAAAATCAAAGACGTTCTCTCAGGTCAGTTTAGTTTTGGGTGTGGGGAGCAGTTGCTCAGTCACATTGGTCCAGTGAATTTGAAACAACAGTGCGTGAAAAGATATGGTGGCAAAATAATGGCTCCGTGTGGGATACATGCTAATGCTAATCACTGGCTAGGCTATTTCTCAGTTTTCACTCATGGATTTTATCCTAATTTTTTAACTGATTATTTTTCTGCCTCAGTGAACACCAAGGTAACTTTTTGCCCTGTTTCACAGGGAAATTTGAGGCCAACTTTTTCTGCTGCAATGTGGAGTTCATATGAGAAAATTTTTCATAGGGTTGCTTAGGTTGAAAAAGACTTCTAAGACCATCAAGTCCAACCATTAACCTAACACTGCCAAGTCCCTCACTAAACCACATCCCTCAAGGCCGCAAATACATGGCTTTTAAAGACCTCAAGGGATGGTGACTCAATTATTTATCTGGGCAGCCTGTCACAGTGCTTGACAGCTCTTTCTGAGAACTCTTTGCCCCTAAGATTCTCCTAAATCTCTCCTGGAAAAACTTGAGGCCATTTCCTCTTGTCCTATTGCTGGCACTTGGGAGATGAGACCACCCTCCACCTGGCTATGACCCACAGAAAGAAGCTGGAATGCTGGGGCTCAGCGTGGCCTTTGCTCAGCACTTGTGTAAGCAGCTTGTGTAGCTGCTGCAGTGTAAACCTTCACACCTGAGGGGAAGAGGATGTGGAGCAGGGGTGAGCCGTGGCAAATCAGTACTGCTGAGTACTTGGAGAGAGAAATGGCCAGGGACAGAGCTGGAAAGCAGGAGTGATCATTATGTCACCAGGGTGTCCATAATGAAGTTATCACTCTGAAGTTATAAAAACTCTGGTAAGAGGCTGAGCTTGTCCAGGCCAGGCAGCAGAGTTGGAAGAGGTTGTGTTCCCAGCTTTTTCTCTCCCTGGAGGAGCAGGGAACCACACATGGCCACTTTGATGCTTCGTCCTGTTTTTGTCTCCTTCATTTAGATGTTGTGTTCTGCAGAGAAGGAGAAGGGAGGGTTCAGTCTTGTCAGCCCCTGGTTTGCATCTGTGCTACATCAAGATTTGTCTGCGTGTGTGTGTCTTACAATCTGCGTAGTGAGTTAGTGGGGTACATATATGAAGAGGTATCTGTCTTTTCTAGATGCTCTCAGATGCGTTGACATGTAATACTTGCCTTTTGCCTTTTATTTCTATTTCTGGTAGTTGAAAATAACTCACTAGTTGCCATGCAAGCAGCTTGTACCTCATATGGCTTGGGTTTGTTATCCTGCACTTTCCTGTGGGGAGAGGCTCTTGACCTCGGCACTGAGGCTGCATTTTTATCGGCAAAATGGCTTCAATGCACAAATGGTGTGAGGGGAAACTCAATTTTCTTTTAAAGTATAGGGATCACCCAGGCTGAAGGGGTTGAGGCGTTTCCAGAAGTCTGCAGACATTTCTGTGATGGCTGCTGTGCCTTCTGGGAGGTTTGAATCCAGTGGATGATGATGCCCTGCTGCGCTGCTTCGGCACAAGATGCCTGCCAGAAATCAGCCCACTCCTAGCAAGATCAAAGAAGAGCTGCCACTGATTTTTAAGGCTGCATGGCTATAGACTAGAGCAGCTGTGCAAATCATTCCTAGGGATCATACTTTATTTTGGTTGCAAGAGTGAAAATAAGGTTATCCTTTCAGAAAGACAATTTAAGCCCTTCTCATTCTTCAAGCTGAGCAAAGCCCCTTCTTATCATATCCTTTTCTTGATCACTGTTTCCTGAACAGAAGTGGGTGAGTATGGGGGAGCAGGGCTGTCTGCATTTTGACTATGTAGCAATGCAATGCTCTTAAAACTGTGGATCAGGAAATTGGATCAATAGAAGAAAAAATTACCCTAGGCTTCCATGCAAAACTCAGTGACACAAAAAGAGCAACTCTCTATCAGCTCGGGGCCTTTGCATGTCCTCTCTCCAGTGATGCAATCAATATCATAACTTTCTACCAGGTGAAAAACGAGGAACAGCAGACAGAGAAAACTGTCCTGGTGACCCAGTGTGAATCCTGCCCTCATCTGCACAGTGGTGCCACACTGAAAAAGCAGGTTCAAATGCAGCACTGCTGCCCAGGCTGAGGGGTCTCAGGTGCTTCTGCTCTGCTGCTCCCAGTGATGGAGGAGCCAGGACTGGCACACTTCATCAGGGTAGCTGACAAGAACAGCTCAGGCCCTCTGTACTGTGACAAGATTCTCAAAATAAACCCTGAAAAAGGCTTTTGGGGAACACACTGCCTTTACAGGGGGACTCCTGGCCTGTACAAGCTCTTCCCTGCCATCCATCCTCGTGGTCGTCCTCCAGCGGCACAGACAAAATTAGCTCACATCTCGGTTTGATAGTTCTAATCCTTTGGTTGTTCATGGCACTGAAGTCTGTCTTTCTGCTCCTGTTTCTGTTCCACAAAAAGGTAAGTAATGTTTTGCCCATTGGATGGGTGAGTTGTGAAGATGTAAAGCACTTTGGAGGAGGTAAGTCCTGCGGGCATCCTGTTTTGCAGAGCCTTCTGCCTCACCCTGGTTTTGAAGCACTGAAATCTGCCAGCCACTTCTCCAAGTGAGGAGCCCAAAGCATCTGCATGGAGTGGGACTGACACACCTTGGGCACAGTGCTGGGGAGATAAATGTGACAAAGGGAGAAAGAAAAAGTAACACCACCTCACTTTTTCCCATCTCCTTTGTTCCAGCTGTTAGGTTTTGCTCTCTTCCCTGTTTCAGAGGTAAAGGAGGGCAGCAGGGGCATGCCCAGGCTGCCTCTGGGGTCACGGCAGCTGCTATAACAAAGGGGAGCGTGGTGGTCTGGCTGGATCAGCGGGTGTGCTTGCAGGAGGCAGCAAAAGTTTACATTTGTGAGAGCAAAGTGAAGAAGCGTGGGATTGAAGAACACTGGGTGCTGCCATACAAGCACCATAGCCCCAAGTCTAATGGATAATAGAGTCATTAATTCTGCTGATTAACTTGGCCTTGGGGTTCATGGAAATGACATTCACCTCCTTTCTTTTTTTTTTCTTTTTTCTTTATTTTTTTTTTTTTAAGCTCAAACTGTGGAACGAGAGAGCATGAAAAAACAAGCTAATTAGAGAGAAATCAGGAGAAAAGAAGCAGGGAGAAAAGAGAAGACAGTCTGAGCATTAATGAGACTGATTTGGAAAGAGGATGTGACAAGCTCTTCAAAAGCATTATTGTCAAATGTGTCACTGTTTCATAGACGGCTACTGCTACCTTTGAGCTTCACGCTGATAGTTAATGATTTGAAACTATAAAAAGATTGAAAAGGTAAAAGAGAAAATGGCAGACTCGACTGGATTTTAATGAGAGTCCCCCCCTTCCCACTTTTCTCTTTTTCCATACGAAGAAGCCTTGGAAAGTAGAAAAAAAGTTCTGTTTTCCCCGCTTGTTTGCTCTCTCAAGGCAAAAAATGTTTACAAAGGAGAAGGGAGAGTGCAGAGGTCCATCTGTCTCGCTCTGACCACCATCCATCTTCCCTTCCTCAAACCCTCGGCTCTCCAATTCACTGTCAAGCGGTGGTGGGGTTGTGGTTGTACAGGCAGAGGACTGACAAAAATAAGCTGAGATTGATGGAAGAGACAGCTATAGCTCTTGTTTGTTTTTTTGTGACGTGCTGAGCAGAAGCAGTCTTCACACTGTGAAATGTAACAAAGAAATCTAAAGTGATTACACAGGTTCATTTGTCAGTATCACTGCTCCAGCTATTGCTGTGTGCAACAATGAGATGACAAGGCATTTATTGCTGATGGTTGGTTATTAGCCACATTATAAGAAACATTAGCACAGTCTAGGATACATAGACCAGGGAGACAATAGCTTTCTGGGCTCCAAACTCAGCAGGGTAGCCTCGTCATTAAATTTGGTGGCACCAATTTAATTTTTTTTTAACAATAAATTGAAAGGAAACTTTGAAAACTAAGTCTGTAACCCTGCATTTACCTTAAGACTGATCAGCGTGCTTTCTTTGGATGCTACATTTTGTATCAGAAAAGCTGTGCAGCCCAGCAGGCCAGCAAATCTAAAACATGCAGTGGAAAAACCTTGTGATATGTGGCCTCTTGGCTGATGCCACCAGCCCTGACCTCCAAAATGCCTCTCTGCCACTGGAGTGGACCAGGTTTTTCTCAACCAAGTTGCAAGCAAACATACAAGGAGAAAAGGCTTCCTTAAACTTTTGTTATGACCTTTGTCCTGCTCTTATCTTTCCCAGGCCTGTTCATTTTTTGCTTGTGTTGTCTGGGTCCTTTAGGGTCAGATCTTGGTATCTCTTCCACCCTTGCAAATTGCGCAGTAAAAGTCACTGTAAATCACAGAGTTGTGGAATGTCCTGGGTTGGAAAAGACCTTAAAGATCATCCAGTTCCAATGGCTCCTCCAGGGGCAGGGACAGCTTCCACCAGACCAGAATTGCTCAGAGCCACATCCTGGCTTTAAACAGCTGGCTTTAAATACTTTCAGGGATAGGACATCCACAACTTGTGCCTCACAACCCTAATGATAAAGAATTTCTTCCTAATAGCTCATCTAAAGCTACTCTCAGTTGGAATCCATTCTCCCTTGTCATGTCACTACTTGCCCTCATAAAAAGTCTCTCTCCATCTTTCATGTAGGCTCCCCAGGTACTGGAAAGCCACAATTAGTTCATCCTGAAGCCATCTCTTCTCCAGGCTGAAAAATCTGAATTCTCTCAGGCGTTCCTCATAGAAGAGGTGCTTTACACCTCTCACCATTTCTGTGTCAGTCACCTGGACTGGCTCCAACAGGTCCATGTCCTTCCTGTGCTGGGGACTCCAGAGCTGGATGCAGCACTGCAGGTGGGGTCACACCAGAGGAAAAAAAAAGCCTTTGACAGTGAGGGCTGAGTATGGAAAGTAAAGGTTTGGCATGCATGGGACGTGACTGGATGACTGCCATGTTTATTAAGCCATAAAAGAACATGCCTGTTCTGTGGCTAAAGCTGTGTTTGCACAGTGGTGCGAAGCCAGCCCTCAGTTCTGGGGTGAAGTGCCTACCTTTTGCAGCCTTTCAGTACTGAGTTTTTCAGTAAAATGAAAAATTCTGCTGGTGGCTTGTTATTTTCAAAGAAGGTTTTTAATTATATCATTCATTTTCTTATTAACTCAGTCAGTGAGTAATATATTCCCTGTTCCATTTTTTCTGACACTCAGCTTCAGTTTATTTTATGCTACCATCAGATTTCCAGAATGCCCCAGATTTTGGCACTGACAGCACTTAAATAAACTGAAACAGTTGTCCTGGGAAAGTTGGAGGTTTTGACAGCTGCATGAGGGATCATGGGACTTCAGCCCATAAAATACCAGTGTAAGGGGAATTACAATGTTTTAAAAACCACTATCACTTGATAACATTATAAATAGCAACAGGAGCTGTATTTGAACAGATTCAGGCCAAACCTGAGTATCTTTGAATGTAAAAATGAAATTTTGCTGGAATCTCTTCATCACTAGATTTATGTGAATAAGATGTAGGGTATGATTTATTTTTTTTTCGTTATGGAATTTATCATATTCTGTGTCCTGTATACTGTCTGCCTAGCAGTGAATTTAATCCGAACTGTTTGTTCCGGATTCATTGATCAGAGAAGTAACCTGAAAATATTCTGCCAGACCCTTAAGATTCTTAAGTCAGGTTGTAAATTTTATAGCATTTTTGAGGTTAAAAAGTGGTCATTTTTTTCTAAGCTGCATTTACCAAATGTGTGTGAGAAATATATAATACTGTCACGTCTCTTATATTTATTGAACAAGGTGATATTGCCCCCCACTAGACACACTTTGTGCCACATCATCTGTTTCTGCCCTGCAATTAATTTTGCCTTGAACTACCCAAACAATATTGTTTCCTGCAATTTCAGCATCACATTCTCTCATCATTTCTGCTCTTGTGTTAATTTTGTCTTTACTTTCAGCTTCCCGGTGAAATCCTGTGATTTCAGTGAAATCTGAAAATATAGGGAATTGATGGCACTGTAAATTGGTTTCAATTAAAGAATGTGTGCCTGCTGAGCTGGGGTCCCTTGAAACAAATATCCCTTGTAAGATGGAAAGATAGCAACACCTGTGATCCAGCTTTCAGATGAAGAAATTTTGTAAAAAATTTTTACATTTTTTAATGTAAATAATAAGAACAAATAATTCAACAATAAAAATATTAAACATCAACAACAACAGTAATAGTAATAGTAGTAATAATAATATCGTGTCACTCCAGCCTTGAGAGGGTTTGAAAGGGTAGCCAATAGGTCTAAATCTATGGTGGCAATTCAGAATCAAATATGAGTAAAATATCTTTTGAGGGCACAAAGCTTGAAACTTGTCACAGAAGAGGCAGCTAAACTCAGACAAGAAAGCAATCTCTATTTGAGAGCACACAGGCATTTCTAACGAGTAGGGTCTGATGAGTCAGCGTTTCAGCTACTGAGTTAATGCAGCATTTGGCAGCTAAGCTAGAAAAAAAGAGTATAAAAAAGCCCTTTGGCATGAACTTTGCTTCTGAGATATATGCAGTGAGTGTATCTCTGAGAAGTGGGAAGGTTTTTGAAGTTATAACAGAGGCTGTTTTAATTTGGGGCAGACTCATTAAGGAACACGGTTTAAAAACATAGATTTTGTTCCCTCTGGCTGTATGCTGTGCTTCACACTGAACTTGGCAGAGACAAAATACAATCCAAGAGGAGGTATCTGTATTGTAAGATAAAATGCCTCAAAGACTGCCTGCTTTGTGGCTGGATCAGATCAGATAAGGGCTGCATCTATCATACCTTCCTCGTGGTGTATACCAGAGCTAGAGGTATTAAGGGGTATGCTAAGATGATGTGTCAAAATTTAATTTAAATCCTGCTGCAGTCAGAAAGGCCAAATCTTTCAAAACATTAGATGTTTAGCAGCAGTTGGTGCCAATGGAGTTTTGTTGCCTGAAAGGGAAATGGTGGAAAATGACATAAAGAAGCAGTTAGCAACCCTGTGTGTTGGTCCCACCTATTGTCACAGCTGTTTCACTCAGGCAGAGGCACACCTTGGTCTTTGTAAAGGCTCAGCTGTGTTTCTGCTCGCTCTTCGCACAGTTTCCACATGGAATTTTAAGGCTGGCTTTCAATATGCAACTTAGGGACAAAGGGCAATGTCTGCTTTTCATCTGAGACTGAAATGTTAGACTAAGATTCAGATCCACAAGAATCTGTACAGGAGAGAGCAGCAAGAAACTGATGACACACTCATAGGAAATGGATTAAAAAAAAAAAACCAAAAAAACCCACCAAGTTGTTCTTTCCCTTTCAGGATGTTAAACTTTCAAAGTATTGATCAGCTATCTGTTACAAATGATGCACAGGTATTTCAGACAAAGGATTTTATTGTTACAATTAATCATTATTTGTGTCATGACTGAGCCTCAAAAGGCCTAGTGAAACCAGATCACTGATGAACCAGGCCCAACAAATACTAAGAATTCATAGCTTAAATTCACAGGAGAGCCATGAGAAAGAGCTGCCTTATAAGAGCAGCACAGTGAGAACACCCAGCCTGAAAACTGCAGCTGAGTCCTTGTGGCTGCCCCTGCCTGAGCAGCGTGATTGCTGCTCTGAGCTAAGCCTTGATGAGGCTGCAGGACCCAGGTAGAGTTCTCTGCCCAGCACTGGGCTGCAAAACAAGGCTGGGAGGTTTGGAGGTGGCACAGCAGCCTTTAGCATGGTGGTGTGTGTGTGTTGTGCACCCGTAGCACGTCCGCACCTGCAGCCAGCCAGCCGGGCAGGGGGTTCCTCCTTCCCCTGGGCTGTGTCTGCCTGCCCCTGTGCGTGTGCAAAAAACACCAGTGGAGGAAAAATCAAAGTAATGAACAGACATTCAGAGCTGACCCTGAATGTTTGTGGTTGGTAGATTAAAACAAAGCTTATTGCAGCAGAGTTGTTCAGGATGACCCTTGGAATTTTACTTTTAAAGGTCAGATGGTAAAAAGCACTGCTCTCCTGCTTGTAGGAAGGAGAGTTTAGCTGTAAGGTCACTTTGTTTTTACACTTTCAGAAATGTTACCTCCACCCTTCACAGGGAATGTAAATCAAGTGAAAAACCACCCAGCAGGGTTATCAGGGTAACACTAAATCAACACCAGCTGCAGCTGCTAGGGGTGAATGTAAAATTTACAGTGAGGCACATGTCTATTGCTACTGAGCGATTAGCAGTATTTCCAATTAAAACATGCAAAGACCAAGATGATTTTTATTTTAGTGGTCTACATAGAAGCACACTTAGA